AAAAGGGAAGAAAATTTGCCTTGGTCTAAAGAAATTGTTAAAATCCTCATGTTTTTGCGGAAAAGAGTTATTCGTATTCATGGAAAAATAGGAACTTTTTGGGAGAATTTTTAAATAGAAATTTTGAATTTTTAGTTTTAATTGAAAAGTGAAATATTACTTTTTTAAAAAAAAAATAAAATATTAGAGTCGGAGGTAATGAACTGGTCCAAACATAATGTACAACGAGGACATGGCAGTAAGCAGTCTGTGTTTCATCTCTTAGCTGTAAATACAAACACATAGTGTGTGGGGCAGGAGAGGAAAAAATCAGCACAATTTCGTACTCGGCATATGTAAATGTTAAGCGTGGGTCCAGCTGCAAAAGACTAGAGTAAAGAGGAAATAAGGAAAAAGACAGGAAAACGACAAAGAAAAGAAGGTGGAACGAGGATTATTTTCATAATAAGTGTTAAATAACATGTTTGGAAGAGCCTGTTGCTTTGCGATTTAGTTTAGGGTGAGGGTTTTCCGAAAATTTTCAACTTCTAGGAGTTTTGCGCAAATGTTTAGCACTTTGTGACGTAAATTTTCGATTTTTGCTCTACTGGAATATTTCTTTTTTTTTGAGGGTGGAGTGTTCAAATTTACAATCACTGTTCCGCCGGAATACAACAATGTACCGCCTGTGGTGAAATGCTTAACACGTGTCTGGCATCCAAATATAACGGAAGATGGCGCCATATGCTTGTCACTGCTACGACAGAATAGCCTCGATGGTTATGGTAAATTAGTTTTTATAAGTTTTCTTGCAGCAATGCAATGCAGAAACGCGTGTTTTCGAGGGGTTGTCTGTGTTTTAAGAGATTGTTCCCTGAAAGTTCTGGTAGCCAGTCTCATTTCGTTTAGCCAAAAGCATCTGCCGGAAAAACCGGTGCCGTTAGCGGCAAAAACGTGCGGAAACCTGTGCAAAAAACGCATCTTCGCACGGGCAGTCGTTACGCTGGCTTTTTTTTACCTCATCAGCAGTCGGCCAATTTGTCCACTTGACAGCTATCGTGATAGTTTTGATTACTCTCCCCTTATTCTTGAACTTCCCATTGCAGCCTTTGACAGTTGTTCCTGCCTAATTTGGCCCTGTTCCTGTGTCAGATTCTTACAATTATTTATACAACTTATCATTAAACCTTAAGCAACTGCAGCCGGATCTCGTTTTGAGTCTCGCAATGTCACTAAGTTCTAGCCACATATTCCCAGACCCAATTGTGTCTATCACACATGATTATTATATGATTACGGTCCACTACATACGATTGCGGTTAGAGGACTGCACTGATGATTCCTGCCTCTACCCGCATGCATAGTTCGGTCTGTGTTTACAGCTGAGGGATGAAATACAGTCTGCATCGTAAAAAAGTGTCTTCTTGCCCATGACACTTAAGTCCACCCTCTGTTCTACTATCTCGTTGCGTTTTGCCTAGCCAGCTATTCTTTTCATCGTGACCTGCTTCCAAACTCTTTGTATAGTCAGCAAAGTTCTACTGTGCCTCTGCCATGACTGAAATTTTATCTTGTTAATCGGCTTATTGTTGTTAAGCAGGCTTGTGTCCGAAGAGGAAATCTGAATCTGTGGTTTAATATTTAAATTTACACAAAGTGATCAGCAAAAACTGTGCTTACCAATGCCAAGTTGCAAAAATTTTCCACTGTAATATAGTTCG